ACTCTCAAACACACTGTACACATTCTCAAACACTGTACACACTCTAAAACACTGTCTTTGGTGTCACTTTCTTATCATTTCAATTAAGAAATTACAAACAGACATAAAAAAATAGATAAATACAATAAAGTTTTTCTTTTCAGATTCTAAACTGTATATATAAATGGACATAGCTAACCTGCTTGCTGACGCATTCCAACTAGGAAGTGAGTATGGGCGCACTTCCAGCTCTGTCGGCTGCAATTCATTTTGTACTGAAAACTTGCCAAACCAGAGGTGAAGGCGGGAAGCCGTTACCTTCAACAGCCTGGCCCATGATTGGCTCTTTGGTTGCTATGATACTTGTGGAAAGAATTCCAATTATGGAACTTGGTTCCAAATTCACCCCATACCTTCCACCCTCGATGAGCTTCATTTGACTAGAGCCGAACGCTGTGGGTGACACTCACTTTGTCCACTTCTTTATACAGTCTATGTTTCCAGACATTTCATTGAGATAAAATTATTTCAGTGTCAAGTGTGGAACTGTTTTTTGTCAAGATAAGTTTAAATAAGTTCAGATAATGGTGATCGTGGGATTCCCCAGGCGTCATTGGACTGCTCTATAAACCATCTCTACTTATGATTGGCAGCTCTGGTTGTATGAGATTTCCTGCTCTGATCGTATTCTATTTGAAGCTGCTGGTCAGAGTGAGGGTTTGTGTCAGTGCTGTGTGGGCACCTATAGATCGTAACTCCATGATGTGCTTTTGAACTGTCTGACATCAGAGGATTCAGCTCCTCATTCAAAATACAATACAGCTCCAAAAGTCAGTGAGAAATGAGCTCTCATGCTGTTTCATATCTCTGTGTGGAGGCTCTGGTGCTGGTGTAGAAAAATATCAAGAAAACAAACTTTACATTTCAATGTTTTCTCTCATTTTTGTTCTATTTTTAATATTCAATGGCTTATTTGCCTGACTTATGCACACACAAAGACTGAGTGTTGGGTGTTACCTCCTCAAAAACAGACCTGGAGTTGTCTTTGTCTCATTCATTCATGTTTGAGGAATCCTTTCTTATTACTCTGTTTACATCTCCAGTGCTCAAAATGCTCTGTTTCACCTTGTGATGTCGAGAAAAATTACAGGAAAAATTCCCAAATTCTAGGGCTGAAATGATCCAAATGATTCTAGTAAATGTGTATGGAGTTTACAAACACAGTGGAGTGCTTCCTGTATCACCACATGACATCACAAGGTAGAACAGAGTGTTTTCTGTTTGAAAGGAGAAGTGTGCCTAAATGTGCAGGGATTGTGTGCTAAACTTGTGTGAATGAAACAAACTCCAGGTCTGTGTGTGATAAGGAAACGTGGGCCTTTAAAGTAGCTTTGTTCAAGTTCCACAATAATAATAATAATAATAATAATAATAATAATAATAATAATAATAATAATAATAATAATGCTTTACACTGCTCTCTCAAAGCACTTCACTCGGCTCCACACTCAGTGGTGGTACTCTACTGTTGTACCCACAGCTGCCCTGGGGCAGACTGACAGAGGTGAGGCTGCCAATCTGTACCATCAGCCCCTCTCACTACCACCAACACTCACACACGCACGCACACACACACCGTTCATTTAGGCAGTGTGGGTGAATAGTCTGAAGATTCAGCCATTGAACTTGGTCTGAGCAGGAATCAAACCTTCGACGAGAGCTCGAGCCACTGTTGTTTCCAGATTCTAGAATGTTTTGATACGTGATCGTGCTCTCAGATGAGGGCAAGACACAAGTTTGATTACATTGTACTTTGCCATGAAATATCCAATAATCAAATTCACAAATGTTGAACATGAACCTGAACTTGAACCTCAGTGACTAGAGCCAAAAAAAAACATAACAAAAAAAACAACAACAGCCTTTTAGTGACAATAATTTCAGCTGCCCCATTTGTATTAAATATTATTGGTCTATTGAATGTTGTGATGTCATCTGAAACACAGTAATTACAAACAAAAACTTACAGAACTTGCATTATAGTCCACAGATCTGACACTCCACAGATCTGACATGTGACATGTCCTGGTGGCGGCACCTGCTTGTTTCCATGGAGATAGATCACTTTAAAGCTATACTGTGGTTTTACAATTACAACACTAACTGCAAATGAACACACAAGCTCGATTATCTTGTGTGACCTTCATTTCCTGCTTATCTCCAGATTACAGACAGATGATTGTTATATTAGTGGATCTTGTATGAGCGATGTGCGTTGTGTTGTGAGTGGTTCCAGCAGACGCATACACAGCAGTACGAGTCTGAATGTGTGTTGTTGGAATGTGATTTGCATACAGCGCCCTCTCTCTCCTCACTTTTGGCAGCGCGTCCCTGGTGTTTTCAGAGAGGGTCCTCGGCTCAAGGTCAGCCTCTTCTCCCCTAATAAGACTTGTTTACATCCTGTCACCGACGGAAGGGGCCCGGGGAGGACAGGGCTGGAGAGGACAGTCTGGAGAGGGCTTCAGATTGAATGGATTTGAAGTTTGCCAATGAAAAGTCAAGCAAACTTCTCCTAAGGCTTCGACATGTTAAACTTTTGAAAGCATATATAGATGGGAGCACATTTAGAATATTAGCAAACAAGACCCAGGGCTGCAGTGACCTGATCTGTTCTAATGTCGTTTCCTCATCACAAACAAACCTGGAGTTTTGTTTTGTTTCATTCACACATGTTTAACACACAAACCCTGCACATTTAGGCAGCGTTCTTCTCTCAAACAGAAAAACCTCCACCTTGTGATGTCATGTGGTCATACAGGAAGTGCTCCACTGTGTTTTTAAACTCCTTACACCATCACTAGAATCATTTGGATAATTTCAGCTCTAGATTTGCTAGTCTTCATGACATCAGGTGGAACGGAGCATTTTGAGCTTTGGAGGTGTAGACAGACTCATAATAAAGAGTTACTCAAACATTTTAACATGACTAAAAGCTCACAAAAGTCGATTTTGTGCAATACAAGACCATTAAAAGAATCGTAATTGCATTTTAGTAATTGTTTTTGCTATGTGGACTATGAAGACTCACGAAAACGCGCAGCATGGGTGACTAGCACTCATGCCTCACAGCAAGAAGGTTCTGGGTTTGATCCCTGGGTCGCCCAGGCCTTTCTGTGTGGAGTTTGCATGTTTCTCCTTGTGTCTGGATGGGTTTCCTCTGGGCGCTCCGGTTTCCCCCATCAACCCAAAACATGCTACAGATCTCCATGAACAGTTGATAGTCAAGGTCAGTTAAATACAATCAATTCAATCATTGTGTCCTTAGGCAAGACACTTCACCCACATTGCCTACTATGAAAGTGGTGTGTGTGCGTGTGTGTGCGTGTGTGTGTGTGCGCGTGTGTGTGCGTGTGTGTGCGTGTGTGTGTGTGCGTGCGTGTGTGTGCGTTTGTGTGTGTGGTGGTCGGAGGGACCGATGGCACCGAGTGGCATGGCAGCTGCGCCTCTGTCAGTGTGCCCCAGGGCAGCTGTGGCTACAATAGTAGCTTACCATCACCAGGGTATAGAGTGAATGAATAATGCTGTGTAAAGCGTCTTTGGGGACAGAAAATGTCAGTGAAAAGCGCTATATAAATAAAGACTTACTTACTGACTAAACATGTGCCAAATGATGCTTTATCACACGCACACAAAAAGTCGACTACATAATTAACTGCAGTCCTAAAAGCTTCTGGTATTTGACAAAATATAAATTATTTTGGTGTGATATCTGACTCTTAGAGAATAAACCATCTTATATCACCAAAAGCGTATGTGAAGTGGAGTAATCTTGCATTCTTTGTCCGTCTCTCTCTTCTGAAGTCAAAAGTCTTTCCAGGCTCCACACAGAAAGATCAGGAATCTAACCCACAACCTCCCACTGAGAGGAGGAGAACTGATAACCAGCAGCACAGTCACACAGGGAGGACATTTGAGAGATTGCAGTGGCTCGATACTTGTTGTCCCGTAAGACTTGTTTACGTCCTGTCCAAAACAAGCTTATCCCTGGAGAGTCTGACACACTCTGGAAATGAAACAGGATCTGAAATTGTGTTTGAAAAGGGAGGCTGAAGCTGTCTGCACGCTCTGGTCCACAGTGAACAATTATAGTGGGATTTGTCTGTAAATGGTCAAAAAGTAGACTTGCTTTTTATGACGTCTTTGTAATGACTGACCTTAAAAATGTAAACATAAACTGGAACAAAATCATATATTTAAATTAAGTATTGTGCCAGCTAAATGACTGAATTTAATACTGCATGAAAAAGGGCTTATTTTTATTACTAAGCATTAAGATTGTTGTCTGTTGAAAGGCCAAACCTAAAAAACAAGCAGCAGGGATGACAGGTGGAAATGAGCTCTAGTGTTGCAGTCGGGCAGCGTGCATCGCTCCTGTTAAGGTTAATATATGTTGTGCACCGTCCCTGTCTCATAAATAAAATAAATAATAAATTAGATTAAGATATCAAGTTTGTGAATCACATCTTCCCTCATGTGTCACCCAGTTTTTCATGGATTGGTTATCAGGTCCAAGATATTGGTTCAGCCGATGAAACAGCTGGTGTATCAAGACGATTTACTGGCCAATGTTGATCCGAACGTCTCTTAATATTTAACTTGTGTTTTTCAAAGTTGCTCTGTAGTTACCTTAAATGGTAAATAACAGTTAAAGCACATTTGAATGATTTTTACCACTCAGCGTTTGTGTTTAATAGAAATAAATCATATTTTCAGACTCTACCCGAGTATCAAGTATCTGTATCAAACAGAACAAAATGGATGGTGCGTCACTATTTGGAACTTTCTTGAATATTTTTACAATGATCTGGGGACAATAACGTACCATAAATATTTATCTGCTTAGACTATCTGGAATGTTGAAGGTTCAACTTGACCCAGTTCATATTATTGTTGTGTCAATAAGCAGGACACCTCACAGCCTGTTGTTTTGTGTGATAAATTTAAATGTAAATGTTTTTCAGTACTGGACCGACTTCTACCTTCAGTGGAATGTGTCTGAATATCCCGGAGTCACAAATGTGCGTTTCCCTGACAACCAGATCTGGAGACCTGACATCCTGCTTTACAACAGGTACACACAAACACACACACACACACACACACACACACAAGCGCACAAACACACACATTTTTACCATCCACTTCTACTTTTTGTTTTAGTCTTAACATTGATTGAAACAAAAACACTTAAACCTTCATCATGACTCAAAGTTAGGTTTACAGTTCAAATCTGCGGAGCGGCAAGCCTGCTCAGTGTAATAATACATGTGTTTTCAAAGGTATCGAGCAATGAAAACTCCTGTAGCTGACTAAATGTAAAACCGATGTTTAATGCCATATTCTGGAACATTTACATATTACTGGAGCATAACAGCGCCATGGAGACAATAGGCTAACTGACTGGTTGATTTCCATATTTTTCCTTGCTGTTTCCAGTGGGATGTACATGTGCAAAACCTCACAACATTTTGCTTGAAAAAAAGAAAATGTATTAAAATAGTCCAAACCCCATCTCCCCTCCACTGTTATATAATGATTTACTCTGATACATCAAACAGTTACTCAAGTATTCTACAGGAGCTCTAGGAGCTTTAAGCCGTGTTAGAACACTGTTACCTCCTCAAAAACACACCTGGTGTTATGTTTCATTCACACGTTTGAGAACTTTTTATTATGACTCTGTCTACATCTCCAGATCCAAACGCTCTGCTCCACCTTGTGATGTCATGAAGTGGTAGTTTTCAAGTAAACTGCTTCTTTGGCCTTGTGTTTAGTAGAGATTGGAAACGTCAGGGCTGAAATGATCCAAATGATTCTAGTGAAGGTGTGTGGAGTTTAAAAACACAGTGGAGCACTTCCTGTATTACCGCATGACATCACACTGTGCAGGTTTGTGTGTTAAACATGTGAATGAAACACAACACAACTCCAGGTGTGTGTGTGTGTGTGTGTGTGTGTGTGTGTGTGTGTGTGTGTGTGTGTGTGTGTGTGTGTGTGTGTGCGTGTGTGTGTGTGAGATGAGGAAACATTAGACTGTGGATCAGATAATATGGTCTTATGGCTGCACCATATTACAGAGAAAAAGAGAGCCGTTGGTGGACGGCTCATGCAGAGTCTTTGGTCTGTGCTGTGCACAAACAAACACTGAGCTCGTTCCTTCCTCTTGTACCTGTGTGCTTAAGATTAGCAGCTCATCGCTAACGACAACCAAAAATGCTAATACTAACCCCGTGTTGCGTTGAGTGAGGAGGGGCTCTTGTCAGGGGGATACTGGCGGCTTTTTAATGAGACGAGCAGACGCTTTGGGCACTGAGCCTGAATTTGAATCACAGTCGTATAAACAGAGAGAACTTTTGGAAATAACTTTTGTGCTGGTGATTGTCTCAGAATATTTGAAGAAGGAAATCATCCTGAATACAACACATTTTAAAAACAGTCTGGGATTAGAACATTAGAAAATACCAGTTGGGTAACACATAATAATGACACTTGAATTAATCGAAACCCTAACTTGAACTCATTGTCGAGATCATATCCTGGTACATCAAATCTATCCATCTATAAAACCACCATGTTGAAACGGTATACTTGCATTCACCTGAATGTATTCAGTATTTGACATTTTTATTATAGGTATGCACTATATTTAGAAGTTTAAAGTTTTATTACATTATAATGTCATGTATTGTGTTGTCATTTTGAAGTTAGTGCTAGATCATGTGACAGCCGTGTTATTAAAGGTCCCATATTAGATTCTTTTCTGATCTATTCTATGTCGTTTCCTCATCACAAACAGACCTGGAGTTGTGTTTTGTTTCATTCACATGTTTAACACACAAACCTGCACATTTAGCACGAGTTCTTCTCTCAAAGAGAAAACACTCTTCCACCTTGTGATGTCATGTGGTGATACAGGAAGTGCTCCACTATGTTTTTAAAATGCATACACCTTCACTAGAATCATTTGGATCATTTCAGTCCTAGAATCCTCACCAGTCTTTACAGAACTAAAGGTAAATGGTAGATGAGGTAGATGTTCACTTGAACTTGATGGTGGAACACAGCATTTTGAGCTTTGGAGATGAAAACAAAAACAAAAGACGAAACAAAAGACAAAACAAAAGACAGCTCCAGGTCTGTTTTTGAGGAGGGAACATTACAACATGACTAAAAACTCATAGGAGTCAGTTTTATGTTAATATAGGACTTTAAACGGATATATTTTTCATTTACTTAATTACAGGTATTTTTACTGATAACCTTGAAAAACAAGTATTGTGACTTTCTTGTCTCCATGGAGATAGATGAGGTTAATGCCATTCTGTGGAACATTTTAATAACATTGTGTCTTGTGTTGTTTTTCTGCAGTGCGGATGAGAGGTTTGATGCTTCGTTCCACACAAATATTTTGGTGAACTCCTCAGGATACTGTCAGTACCTGCCTCCTGGTGAGAATCTTCTACCTGTCCACGGGTTTCACATCAAACATGTGCACTGTTGTCATAGCAAAAGAAAATGTTTTTTAATGGTGAAAAATCATCAAGTTGTCACATAAAGAGGAAACTTAAGCCCAGGAATATCTATTTGTAAGATTCCGTTTTCTTTTTACCAAATGACATTTTAAGCAATAATGAGAGACTGTGCAATCAGTGTGTAATTACAATCACAGCACTAATAATTAGTTAGAAAAAAAACAATTGAAAAACACTTCTGAATGATATGGGGCTTGTTCTGCTTCACAAAACATGGAGCATATGATTGTTGAAGAGGTTTCTGGCATTTAAACATCAGAACAGGTCTGTGCACTCCCATATTCACAGTATTTACATCATTTCATCTATGATCACATGACATGATCATTTTCCCATCAATTTCACTCAATTAAAGCTCATTGAGGCCAACAGTTATGGGGCGAATTTGGAGCTGAGTTCAACATTAGGAGAAAGGAATTTATTTACAGACAAAATAGTGAAATAAAAACACCAGGATCTCACGTCCTGTTTTGAATGTGGTGGCTCTATGACTATCTATCAATCTATCTACTATCTATCTATCTATCTATCTATCTATCTATCTATCTATCTATCTATCTATCTATCTATCTATCTATCTATCTATCTATCTATCTATCTATCTATCTATCTATCTATCTATCTATCTATCTATCTATCTATCTATCTATCTATCTATCTATCTATCAATCTATCTACTATCTATCTATCTATCTATCTATCTATCTATCTATCTATCTATCTATCTATCGGCCCTGTCCCTCTCTTGGTCTAGTCTCAGTGTAGTCCTGGTTCGGTTCTGGTTTGGGTCTGGTTTGGTTCTGGTTCGGTCCTGTCCCTCTCTTGGTCTAGTCCTGGTGTAGTTCTGGTTTGGTCCTGTAGTGCTGGTTTAGTCCTTGGTCCCTGTTTGGTCTTGGTTTGGTCCTGTGCTAATCCTGGTTTAGTTCTTGGTCCTGGTTTGGTTGGATCCTGTATTTCTCCTCTAGTCCTGGTTTAGTCCTGGTTTAGTCCTGGTTTAGTCCAGATCCAGTCCCAGTTGTGACGTGGTGCGTCCGTGTGCCTGTGTACAGATAAACACTGCTTTTATGCACAAGCATATCAAACACTTTTATTGAAGCATTTTTTTTTCTATTTTGGGACTATATTTTCCCACCACCTGATGATTAAAGATGGTGTTACCATGGAGACGTGCACCTCCACATTTTGGTTCACTGGAGCGGACAATAGAATGGAACTGTCACCTGTCTGAGAAATTTTGCCCAGTGCAGTCGTTTTCAAAATGTGTGTGTTTTCTGAATTTAGTGCCAGTTTAATGCACTGTTCTGCCCTTTGGGTTAGTCCATGTTTAGAACTTGTGTAGTTCCACCTTCGACCTGGTTCAGTCCTATTTTACACCTGGTTTATGTGGTTTAAACCTAGTGTAGACCTGGTTTAAATCTGTTTTAAACCTGGTTTAGTTCTAGATTAGACCTGGTTTAGTCCTGCTTTAGACCTGGTTTAGATGAGGAGGTGTCTGTCCATGATGGAGCTGTCACTGTTAATGGAGCGAGTCAGAGGTCAAAGGTCAAGAGGCGGAGCTAGAGTTGTGTTTTTATCAATGAAATGAGACAGACGCAGAAGAGCTGTGCTCACACAGACACTTGTTATTGTTTTCAACCAGGAGACTCAGTTTTTTCTAACTTTTCTATGGGAGGGTCCACTAAACTCTTGTCTCCATGGAGATGTTTGTTTGGAATATTCCATAGTTTGGCATTAATTGCACAGGATCTTACTTGCATATATTCAACTACAGATGTTTTTGTGACTAAAAATACCTTGAAAAACAGGCATTATTTCTCTGAGTGGCTTGCCTCTCCACAGAACTGAGCTATAACTTGTTCAGTGTTGTCACCTGCTTGTGTCCTTGGAGATGGATAAGTTTATTGTGATGCGGTGGAACATTTCAGGCAAAGCAATATTTCTATGGAAACTAGTAGTGACAGCTCCTCTCCAAAAGTGAAAGTGTGAAAGTGTTCGTTTAGAATGACACTAAAAGGCCAATCTTACATATATTTCCATGACAACATATTGAATTCACCATTATTTTTCTAAGTGTGCTGTCGATTCTGTAGATTTTGCAATAGAATCGGGCTTCTTGTTTTATATGTTTGTCTGTAAAGAGCCATACACTGTTTCAGGTATAGACAGTTATGTGACATGTGCCGTAAAACACACTGAGGAGGAGCTTCACAAATCAATAAGTGCTCAGCATGTTAACAGCTCTGTTAGGCCAGAGACGTGAGAACTGAGACCAGAGACCTGAGACCAAAGACCTGAGACCAAAGACCAGAGACCAAAGACCAGAGGCCTGAGACCAGAGACCTGAGACCAGAGACCTGAGACCAAAGACCTGAGACCAAAGACCTGAGACCAAAGACCAGAGACCTGAGACCAGAGACCTGAGACCAGAGACCTGAGACCAAAGACCTGAGACCAAAGACCTGAGACCAAAGACCAGAGACCTGAGACCAGAGACCAGAGACCTGAGACCAGAGACCTGAGACCAAAGACCTGAGACCAAAGACCTGAGACCAAAGACCAGAGACCTGAGACCAGAGACCTGAGACCAGAGACCTGACACCAAAGACCTGAGACCAAAGACCTGAGGTTAAAGACCTGAGACCACAGACCTGTGACCAGAGACCTGAGACCACAGACCTGAGACCAAAGACCTGAGACCAAAGACACGAGACCTGAGACCAAAGACCTGAGACCAAAGACACGAGACCTGAGACCAGAGACTTGAGACCAAAGAACTGAGACCTGAGAACTAAGATCAGAGAACAGAGACCAGAGATTGGAGACCTGAGACCAGAAACCCGAGGCCAGAGACCTGTGACCAAAGACCTGAGACCAATGACCTGACCAAAGACCAGAAACCAGAGACCAAAGACCTGAGGCCTGAGACCTGAGACCAAAGACCTGATCGGAAACCTGAGACCTGAGACCTGAGACCAAAGACCTGACTGGAAACCTGAGACCTGAGACCAAAGACCTGACCAGAGACGAGAGACCTGAGGTCAGAGACCAGAGACCAAAAACCTGAGACCAGAGACCTGACAAGACACCTGAGACCAGAGACCTGAGACCTGAGACCAGAGACCTGAGACCTGAGACCAGAGACCTGAGACCAGAGACCTGAGACCTGAGATCAGAGACCTGAGACCTGAGACCTGAATTCAGTCTTTGTTAAAACAAACTTATCTTAAAACTTTTAGAAATACTAGAAAATCTAAAACCAGTTGGTAGATTATAGGATTTTCAAAATATCCAAAGTAAAAATCTCTAGGTTATCAACAAAACCTCTACCAGAGACTGAAGACACTATTGAAAGTACATACTCATCAGCACTGACACTGAAGTTTAAATGTGCACTATGCAACTTTTTGGTTGAGGGTCCGTCAGCTGATTGTTTCTGTGGAGATGTCATTGCTCTGCCTGGAATGTTCCACAGTATGACATTAAACAGCTCTCATGTACATTTATTCAGTTACAGGTGGTTTTATAGCTTAAAAACATCATCGTCTCTCCACAGATCTGACCTATAACTTCTGCTAACTTCTAGTATACTTTGGTCTCCATGAAGATAAAAAGTTTTAATGCCACAGTGTGAAACATAGACAAAGCAATGTATATATATTTATAAATATATATAAAAATGAAATGATAGAATGCACGGAGGGAGTGAGTTGGTGTTTTGGGAGCGACTGCACAGTTTAATCTGCCTTTAAACTTATGCAGCTGCTGTTTTGTAGCTCGAGGCCTGTCACCATAATTACTATAGCATATTTTCTTTGGAGTCAATATTTATCATCTGTACTTTTTCTTTGCACTACTGGGAGATTTTTGGTGGTTTATTTTTTTTGGCTATACAATAAGATCTGTAAAAGGTTGAATTCACTATGACTTCTTATAGATGTTTCATTCTGCTGTTTCTTTATTGCAGCTCATGATTTTTTATTTTATTTTTTAATCAGTATTATAGATTTCGATTTGTTTTTGTTTTTCAAATCTGCTCTTGGATTCTTCAGTGGCATAAATGAGTTTAAATATTATCGTTTATTTATCTATCAGCTTCTTCAGTATCTGTTTAAGTGGTGTGTGAGTGTGTGTGAATGGGTGAGTGGCTCCTTGATGTAAAGTAATTAAATGAATTCATTCATTCATTCATTGATTATTGCATTTATATAGCACCTTTCAAAACACCCAAAGCACTTCACAGTTCATTGTTCATTCCCTCCACATTCGGTGGGAGACTGACGGAAGACAGGCTGCCAAATTGTGCCATCGGCCCCGCCCACCACCACCATCACTCACACACACCATTTTCTTACTGGGCAATGCAGGTGAAGTGTCTTACCTAAAGACACAACGACAGTTTTAGCCAGTGGCACCCACTTGTGGCACCTGTTTTCCCCAGTGGTCTCCCATCCAAGTAGTGACCAGGCCCGACCCTGCCGCTTCTGAGATCTAATGAGATCAGGCTTCAGTGTTGGGAGGGTTACTTTTAAAATGTATTCCCCTACAGATTACAGATTATGTACCCCAGAATGTAGTTTGTAAAGTCATCCATTAAATTACTTAAAGTGAGTAACGTAATCTGAATACTTTGGATTACTTGATTTGCTGTAGAGAAGCAAAGACTCGGAAATCTTCACTTAAGATGTTTTGTCTGTTAAAAGACAATAAAAAGCCCAGATTTTACTTAACCGTATTAAAAACATCATTGATAGAAGAGGAGGAGACACGTCCGCGCAGCATGATTAAATCCTGTTAAATCCTGTTTTAGTCCTGTTTTAGACCTAGTTTAGACCTGGTTTAAACCTGGTTTAGATCTAGTTTAGATCTAGTTTAGACCTGGTTTTAGTCCTGGTTTAGACCTGGTTTAGATCTAGTTTAGATCTAGTTTAGACCTGGTTTTAGTCCTGGTTTAGTCCTGGTTTAGACCTGGTTTAGATCTAATTTAGGCTTGGTTTAGTTTCCAGCAATGAGTGGAATTACCGAGAAAAAAAAAAAAAAAAAAAAAAGGTGATATAGCCCAAAATATGAAAACAGGAAAATAGCGCCATGTAATCCATTTATTTCAACAAAGTAACTGTAATCCAATTACCACTCATTGAAACAGTAACTGTAACTGAATACAGTTACTCATAATTTGTACTCTGATTATATAACTCCAGTACATGTAATCTGTTAATCCCCAACACTGTCAGTCTTTGACAAGCTGGTATGGCCACAGTTTAAGCCTTGAAGGTGGAACAGCACTGTATAAAAACGTGACCATTTTTCATCTATATTTACTTCAGCAATATATAACACTTTAGAATTTGTTATCATGACCGGCCTAAGTAGCTCTTCTCTGTACACATGTGCGAGATCCTAAACATTCTGAGATCTTTTGCCAGCTCCACACTTTGCCCCCTCTGAGTCCATGAGTCAGTGCACAGAACAGCTCTACTCCAGCCTCCTTTTGCAGAGTACATATAACATCACGTGACCTGTACTTGTGTCTCTGTAGGCATCTTCAAAAGCACCTGTTACATAGACGTGCGCTGGTTCCCTTTCGATGTGCAGAGGTGTGATCTGAAGTTCGGCTCATGGACGTATGGAGGCTGGTCTCTGGATCTGCAGATGATCCCTGCAGACACCAGCGGATACATCGCCAACGGAGAGTGGGACCTCGTGGGTGAGAACCACTAAAGCTTATATCTATAGAGCAGTGACTAACTATTATCAGACAATTAGTCCTGTTGTATACTGAGATTTTTAAATGCCCAAATAAAGGTTGAATTATGGTGATTGAAGGCATCTAAATAGAGACTGAATAAAAGTGTCTTATTGATGAAAATGCTATTTGTTTTCTATCGTGAGAGCAAAACTCCGGCCTCTGAAAATGATCTATTACATCTGAGTACAGTCAAATGGCTCACATTTAGGCTCTCAAACATAAAGGTTCATTAACAGTTCCAACTAGTGCATATTGTTGTTCTACCCTTGAGCAAGACACTTCTCCCACCTGGCCAGTGTATGAATGTGGTGTGTGTGTGAGTGGTGGTCTTCAGAGAGGTGGTCTTCAGAGGGCAGCTGTGACTACAAAAGAAGATCAGGAAATGAATGTAAAGATTATAATTAGGGATGGGCATTCGATAAAATATTCTTAATCGATCGTCAGGAGAATTAAAGATCGATTATCAATCTAGTTTTTATATTAAAATTATCATTATTATCATTATTATTACTATCTGCACTAATCTGCTTAAATAAATTCAACTTTACAACATATAAACATAATCACTCTAGATCCACATCAGTCTGTTTGACATTAGAATGTGTTTAAAGCAGATTTGTGCAGAAACAAAAACTTAAAACCACATGGCTCATTTGCATAAATTAAGCAAAGAAAAAAACAGCTCTTGTGTACTGATGCGGTTCAACTTCTGTCAGACTAAAGGACATGACTCAGTGGAATACAGGTTAGTGTGAACATATTTTTGTCACCCTATTTTGGTTTATCAAAACCAGGACACTGTACGGGGGGCGGGAGGTGGGGCAATGGACATGTCCGGAGAAAAACGGGCGTTTGGTCATCCTATGCTACGCACAGCAACCTACATTTGGTTTGTTGATTAAAAATGAACGTAATCGACGAAATTCTTAATGATCAATTATCAATTAATCGACTAATCATGCCCATCCCTAATTATAATATATCTACTTAAAAGAGAAGCTTTAGTGGAGCTGAAGAGGAGCTCAGAGGCCACAGCAACAGAGAATGTAACAGTAATGTCAATACTAATAGAGCAGGACACAGCTCTGTGCTCTGTTCAAGAAACACACATATATGATTTATTCAGACACGAAGAATCTAGACATGTGAAATCAGAGAAGAATGCTGCAGCTTTAGCTGTGTTCATAATGAAATGCATAGCTCATTTGGTATAGTTTTATTGCCAGTGTATTTTCTTTGTTTCTGCTTCATTTGCCTTGATTGTATGAAAAAGTGTATGAGTGTGTGTCCTTGAGCAAGACACTTTGCAGATGTTATTTGAATGGGAACAGATAGAACAAACATAGAGTAACAATTCAGTAATCTGATGAAGGTCTCACAGTGTTTAGAGCCGACCCCAGTCCCCAGACGGGCTTTAAACTGTTCACATTTCACTAAAAGACCTGTACACGTGAGTTCCTGTGATATGTGCTGAAAACCTTGTGTAGAAACCAAAAATGAAATGTCCAAACAAACAATTTTTGCATTTAACAATTTTGATTTTGAAAAATGTTTACAGCTGCTTTAATGATTTCTTATTTCTTATTTTATTTATTTGTAAAGGGACAGTACATATTAATGAACATTAAAAATGTAAATATGTAAAGATTATAGCCAACGTGGCTCATTTCCATCTACAGGACAAAGGAAAGTACAACAACAATCACACAAAAGAACATAAAACCAGCACACTGACAGTACACGCAACACACTCACTATACACACAACACACTCACTGTACACACAACACACTCACTGTACACGCAACACACTGACTGTACACGCAACACACTCACTATACACACAACACACTCACTATACACGCAACACACTCACTATACACACAACACACTCACTGTACACACAACACACTCACTGTACACACAACACACTGACTGTACACGCAACACACTCACTATACACGCAACACACTCACTATACACGCAACACACTCACTATACACACAACACACTCACTGTACACACAACACACTCACTGTACACGCAACACACTGACTGTACAGGCAACACACTCACTATACACACAACACACTCACTGTAACACACAACACACTCACTGTACACACAGCACACTCACTATACACACAACACACTCACTGTACACACAACACACTCACTGTACACACACAACACACTCACTGTACACACAATTAGTTTCAAACTGTTCAATTTGAAGTTCAAAGTCAAGAGTTTAAGAGTTAAACCAACAACCCCTCAAAATAAAAGAAAATGTAAATTGGTTAAACATGGAGACATATTTGACCACTGAACAATCACTGTTTTAAAGTTTTAGAAAATGTTGCCATTGTTGAAAGTTCTCGTACATGAGCAGCTCTGTATTCCATGTTTGAGCTGCTCGATAAGTAAAAGAGAGTTGTCCAAACACACTTTTTCTAGGGTTATTGTTAGGGCACAGAGCAGTCGCCTCTAGAGCTGCTCTTGTTGTGGAACAAGATGATTAAAAACTTTGTCTACCAAAATTAAATCTGCATATTTGATTGTGTTGTCCCAATTTAGGAATTTGTATTTGTCTAGTTTTCTGTAGTAGTTAATATTCGTGAGCTTTTTGTCTAATACCTTAAGTGAATTTTATTGATAGTTTCAGCTCATTTAAGAGGAGTTTTGCTTGTCAGAGTCCGACTAGTAATGCAATAATTTAGGTGTGGCAAAATTACTTTTAAAAATGACTTTAAATATATAATTGCCGAGTTTGTTGTTTGATTATTTCTTATACGACGAAAATTTGATCAATTATATTTGATTTTATTCACTGTTCTGTTGACGTGTTGTTTGGAAGATAGTTGTGGGTCCAGGGTGACTCCCAGATACTTCACCTCATGGAGCAGTTTCAGTTTTGTTCCAAGCACAAATACATCTGGGTCTGTGTCCATGACAGTTTTTTTTTTGAGAAAAACATACCAACTGACTTTGATATATTAAGATGTAGTTGTGAATGTTGGAGCCAGTTTGCTTCTCTGACATAATGACTGACAGGTGCTGTGCAGCGTGCTGTTAGATTAGAGTGAACATACAAGACTGCATCGTCAGTGTACATCAGACAAATTACATTAGATGGACAAATTTGGGGCATGTCATTAATGTAGATGCTAAACAGCAATGGACCCAGTATTGAGCCTTGAGGCACACCAAGATTGTTTGAGATGTTGGAGATTTACATTATGCACTGAAATACATTGCTTTCTCAAGGCCAGGTATGATTATAGCCAGTTTAAGGTTATTTTTGATAGAATGAAATAAGTGAGTTTTTGTAGAAGCGTGTGATGGTTCACAGTGTCGAACGCCTTTGTCAAATCGATAAACACAACAATCAGTACTGGACTTGATGTTTTTGACAAGGTAACATAGAGCAATCTCTGTGGAATGATGTGGAATTTACCCAGTCAAAGCTATTATCACAATCCTCTTCTATGATTATAATTTAGAGCTTTTTAGTCTTTTCTTTTTTGATTAGATAAACCATATATTAGTGTTTTCTTGGACAGAGCAGAGCACAGAGCTGCGTCCTGCTGGATAGTATTGACATCACAATTACATGTCTCTGTTTCTGTGGCCATCAGCCTCTGACCCCTCTTCAGATGGACCACAGACCTTCTCTTTAACAGTCTGCGGTGGATGGGGAGATGTCCGTACATTTCTTTTCTCGTAACTTGATTTACAAAAGGCTTATTTCCCGGTCGGCCAATAGATCAGCTGGTTTGTACCTTTTAGGCTATTTTATTGGCTATTGTCTTAACATTTCCAGCACAGGCCAATATTTAGTTTGGACCAAAAAGCTGCCAAGAAAATGTGCATAAAGCTTTATTTGAACACTGAAAGGGCCCATATTACTGTATCTTCTGATCTATAGTTCCTCATCACACACAGATCTGCAGTTGTGTTTTGTTTCATTCAAACATATTTAACACACAAACCTGCACATTTGTAGGTTCTTCTCTCAAACTGAAAACACCTTGTGATGTCATGTGGTAATACAGGAAGTGCTGCACTGTGATTTCAAACTTCAGAGACCATCTCTTGAATCATATGAATCATTTCAGATCATTTCTACTGAACAAAAGGTAAAATGCAGCAGTTTACTTGAAACTACCACTACATGACATCACAAAGTGGAACAGAGTATTTCGAGCTTTTTTAGATGGAGACAGACTAATAATGCAGGTTACTCAAACATGTGTGAATGAAACAAAACACAACTCCAGGTGTGTTTTTGAGAAGGTTACATTATAACATGGTTTAAAACTCCAAAGAATCAATTTGATCTAATATAGGACCTAAATACAGAGAGGGAACTGCACAAAAAGTGACTCTCTGACACAGTTGTGGATGAATTTGTCACATCATTTCAGCTAAAAATATCATGATAGTTAATTGGACATATTTTATCTGGATTCTAGACAGTGGGGAGTATCGGACAAATCGATATTGATTGTCTCCCCTCTGCTCGCTGCTCTGTTGTGACGCTTGGACCAATCAGCTTGAGGTGTTTGAACATTCCACCCCTCCCCTGTGGCAGTGAACCAAAGCCTTCCCTGATTGATGCTGTGAAAAATGAGAGTGAAGAGAGCTACATGTTTCAGTGTGGCCTGTGCAGGTGAGGTGAGAGAGGCCGCTGTGCTGAGTGACAGCTCTGCCCACAGGACCAGCACCGTGTGACCGAGCACTGAATGAATAATGGAACGTAAAGCACTCTGAGTATTCTCAAATGCACCACATATTGTGCATTTAAGTTATATTTATTAGTATATATAAGTGACTTGAAAAGCACTCTATGGTGCTTTTCAGATTCTAGAATGTGATGAGGTCATATTCTCAGATGCGAGGCAGGTCCAGTTTTCCCTATAACATTGTACTTTGCCATGAAATATCCAAACAATAACA